GTTCTAGTTTTAGTACTACAGCTCATACCTATCTGCCTTTTATGTCTGTTCCAATAAAATACGATTTAATTATGTATTGACCAAGGGCCTGACATAGTAAAACTACCATTACTCTTCTGTCTGGATTCCAGAAAGATACTGCAGGCAAAGGTGATCAAACCCCTATTAATCTATAATCTAGGCCATAGGAGGAAGGTGGGGACGTTGATTACCAAGCACAGCGGGGCAGGCAACGATGAAAACCTCATCTCCAAACTTGGAACTGGCAGTTTGTGCTTGAAGAAAATGATCTTTTACAAGTTGAGCATCAGATAAGCAACTGTTGAGTTAAAAACATAGTGTCTCAGCAGCTGCCCCATCCTGCCAAGGTCATCAATGTTGGCAGTGCTGTGCAGACAGGCGAGGGGAATGCTACTCTACCGGGCAAGCAGTACCTTCATCTCCGTCCAGCTCATGTTTCATGCAAGAGGATTCTGAAAAACATTCTCTCTGAGTCTCCTATTTCCATTCACTCATTCAACTTCAACATTTAATAAATTTGAATACACTTTCCAATGTAATGAAAAATTGGAGACTGGTAGCAGAATTTCTATCTCCTGTGATCAGATCTGTAAGGGTTAATATGTATAACCTTTGCTGTATTCTCTCCCTGTATATTTATGCAAATGAGTAAAATGCATACATGTGCACATAAACAAAAGGCTTATAACCTTTGTGAACAAGATGCCCCTTTATCCTAAATGTGTCGGCATATTTAACTCCAAAGCTGCAAGTTATCTTTTGTGACCACATGTTTATCAAAGTCAGACAATTAGCACTGATAACATACTAATATTACAGAACAAAACTTATATCTATTTCACATTTTATCAGGATAAGGTTCTTCATGGCAAATGAAAACTCAAGATATTTCATTGTATTTGATTGTCGTGTGTCTTTTTAGTCTACTTGAATCTGAAGTCACTCTTTAAATCCTGTAACAGTGACGATTAAACCTGCAGTGACTATGTTGTACATTTAACCAGCAAGCTGGCTTTCTCTCACATTTCCCAGTGATGAGATACAAGTTGTGCACTTTGGGAATGGTCAAGAGGGGATGCTGAGCTCTCTGCACTGTACCCCATCTAAGGGCGTGTTCTGTCTATTCTTTCCACTACTGGCAACATTAAGGTTTACAACGTGTGCCAAGTTGCATGTGGAAAATCACCATGTGATGCAATAGTTGCCTTTTGTAATTGGCAAGTACCTTGGTAAAGGCTTTGAATCTATATCATTCTATAGGATTTCTCACACTTCCCTCAAGTAGGTTTATATCATTTCTAATTCTAGGTTAGATCAAGAATTACTGTGGCTAATTGCTAAGTGATGATTCCCTATGCTTATTACTTAGTCCTTTTTTGTTTCTTACTTTTCCTTCTTGTACATTCTTATGTGGTTTGGTGTGCTATTCTACATTCTACTTTTGTTTACTTTGAGTCTAAAAATGTTTCAGATTTGATCAACGGGAGCCACTTAAAGCTGGTTTCTGTGTTCTTTTCAACAAATAATTGACTGTGTACCATCGGTATGGTTGGACACTAAGGATACAATAATGAGCAAAGCATTGTTTTAAATCTCTAGCCTTGTGGGGAGTAGATCTTAGCTTATAGGAATCACAAGAACAAATGAACAAAAAGGATAGTCCATTAGAAGGCACTGAGCAAAAGAAAAGCCAAGGTCAGCCCTTGGTTTAGGAAATGTTCCAATTACCATGGCATGGGCAAGGAGTGCCTCATTAGTGGATGCCATTTCCACAAAGACCTGAACAGGACAGGGAGTCCTATGACTGTCTGGAGGACATGTCTTTCAGGCAATGCCTAGCACTGCAGAGCAGCAAAAATAGCCCCAATTCCTTGAGGTCAGAGTAAACTGGCATATGTCTGAATCAAGAGTAAACTGGAAGACAGAAACAGAGCAGGAAGACCAGCACTGTGGTCAGAGTTCCTTAAATCCTGATAGTGTGTATTTCTAATATTGATTGATACATTGCTAAGTTATCAGATAAAAGTGCTACCTTAGATAACAAAGTTCCTCTAGACATAAGACCCAGATCTCAAAATACGTTTACATAAAGAAGATCTAAATTATATGCATATATGCATGTGCCTATAAATGTATGTATATGTATATATATACATATATACATATATATATATATATATATATGGAGAACAATGTAAGAGTTATGTAACAAAGGTCCAAGGCAACAAGGCTTTTCAATCCTGGAAGAATACTAGGGTGTGAGACGCAGTGAACTAGTTCATACTATGGTTCTGAAGCTACCACCATTAATAGTTGCAGTTATTATTAGCTTAGAGCAATTTTAGGGAAAAAATGGGAGCCTTTTCTTCTAGCAAGGACACGAATCCTGCCTTGTCATATATTATGCAATGTGAGAAAATGCAAATGCCATCCAAGCTTTTCTTACAAAGCTTCATCTTTGTCCACACTCAATTAAAGGTTTGCCTCCCTAGTCCCGTCCTTAAATGTCCTCAGTCATTATCTGTGACTCAACTTGGATCATGTTCTCCATCCTCATCTTTCCTTGGGATATCATAAGAGCCAAAATTTGGTCAGAAATCTCTTGATGGTGATAGAGAAGAAAGATAGTCTGCTCACAGACCACAGAGCCATGAATCAGAGATTTAGAGTGGTTCACTGCCATCCCTTTGACTGACATCTCTGTGACCTTATACAGCAATTGCATGCCTTCTCAGGTGTTTGAAGGCTTTTAATTAATATTTGTAAATCTCCCTGATTGCCAAAAGTGGACAGTAATAGAAAAGGGCAAATTATTATTGCCGATGGAAAGAGGAATGGGGAGATTGTTTTGTTCCATCACCAGAGAGATGCCAATACGTACAGTCACTGTTCTCATAGAAGAAGGAATACATGTAAACTTTGATTTATTGACTTTATACTTACAGTGGGTTCCAAAGACCACTTAATGCAAAGCCCCAGCACTCTGATACACAGCACACTGTGTCTGTGAGTGCTGGTCCTGGATCCATTAAGACTGAGAGGAATCTTACTATTCACAGTGAGTGTGAGAGTTCCTCTAATTAACTGATTTCAGTTCATTTGGCATTAAATAATTTCCCCAATTCCCATATGTTTGAACAATATGTTCAATGATGGGGATGAATCTCTGAAAGCAATTAAATAGTTCTTTCAGGAGAGATTGTCATCGGTCACTCATAAACATCCCTACTTTTCCTGTCCATGATGAATATAGACAGCAATTATAAGAAAAGTACTTAACCCTTCTCTAATAGTTGTTGGCAGCCATTCACACACAGGCCAACACTGTATGCTGAGAGCACACACTTGAGTTTCACATGTTTTTCAAACCTTGAATATATTGTTCTGGGCTTTGCAAAGCATGTTTGCTACTGCTAATACAGCCTTGCAGTCTCCCTTGCTGCTCAAATGTAAAGGCAGGGGTGCTCTCAGCTTAACATATTTTTGGTTCATTTGTAGAGAAAGAACTGTCAAATTCAGGCATTTTGGAGAAATAATCTTTTTGAAAGCATGACTAGTGCTTCGTGAGGAGGGAAGGTGGCCATGTGATTGTGTTCAGCTCTGTCTTGGATGCAGTTGATGTCGGGTAATCCTGCTGTTATGTAACCCAAGTTTAGTGCAACAGAAAACTATAGACACCAAACTCAAGCGTGACCATGTAGAATTTGAGGCAGGTCATTGAATATGAACAACAATGACTCAGGAATTAATAGCATTTAGGTGAACTCCTAAGGATTTGCCTACTCAAGACCATGAAACCAATTTTATCTTTGAAAACCAAATTCCAACATTATGCTGCCAGGGGCTTGCTCTGGGAATCCAGGATGACACATTTGAATATCTTCCTGAGTGGAAAGACATGAAGTTTTGGTAGTATCTATCTGACCTAGATCTCAGCATGCATTGCTCATCTGTGTGTCTGCAATTACTTCATTGATTATATCATTGTATTTCTTATAAGTGAAACATACAAAACGAGTAAGAGAGTTGGTAGAAATTAAGTGGGCTTCATGTTATGCTATTTTTACTGATTGTTATTATGTAAACTTCATTTTCTTATTGTTTCTTGGGGAAAACTGAATAAAGCTGAGGGTGGAGTAAGGCTTAGTTACCCTGTGTTCCATTCCCAACATGAGCAGTGTGAATGGAGCTGTGTAATGAAACAGAGGGAGTCAATGAGTTATGACCCATTTACTGAAATTTCACATAGGTTTGTCTTCTACAATAGCATTTTCATTGTAAATAATTCACAACACAGGAAAATCTGAACTCCAGATTTGGGTGCAATGACTTTAAATTAGGATTTGAAAGAGTTGAAAATTAGCTATCATGTACATGATTATATACACTTATAGCTTTTTAGTGAGCTATCAGGATAAAAATATTATAAAACTGATATGGTTATACATTGCAGAAATAAATGTTTTAAAGCAGAATAATCATGTTTAATTTGTAAGTACCTAAGGTAGTGTTTTGATGCATAGTAACTTGTTTCATCATTTACTAGCATTAAAATACTATTGAATATGTTGTTTTGGGAAAGGGATCTGATGATAAGCCAACCAAGTAAGTCAGGTCTGTAGATTCTTGGGATTTATCACCAATAGGAATATGCTAACGAGAATGATAATTGAAGAGTTTGTTAACAGGATTGATAATTTGCCAGCTGTGGTTAGCTGCACAGGTGCATTTTAGGGTTCTTCAATCCTTCTTTTATTTCCAAAGGACTGGTTGTCACTTTGCTGCTTTGTTTGTAACATCAGTTGAGACCTAACCATAGTCAATCTGGGTACCTGGACAGTCTGACGCTATGGCCTGTTCTCCAGGTCATTATACAGAGGGATTTCACTGCTTGTAGACTATCCCCATCTGTAATTAAGTTCTCATTCCTAGTCCTTCATCCTTCACATGCCTCTCTGTCTTCTTTCTCATCTGGGAAGCCTGCAGTCAGATGGATCTGAGGTACTCCTGAGTCCTGAAGTCACCTGTGGCCCTCCAGATATGCTTGTCACAACTCCCTTCGCACTGACCATCCCTCACTGTGCAGACGTCAGCTCAGAGCACTGGAACATCCACTTGAAGAAACGGACACAGCAGGGAAAGTGGGAGGTGAGATGTTGTGTGGTTTCTGTATTTTTTCAAAAATGGTATTCAGGTTCTATGGATGCATTAGATTTAATCTTCACTATTCTTATTATGATGGGTCAGCTGTGAAACTGGAGAACATTTGCTAACTGCCAAGCAGTTGTGATATGAATTTTATACAGTCCTCAAGGTGTTTGCTAGCTTTTTCATGTAATAATGGAAAAGAGAGACAAGATACAATCTGGGGTTATTGTTTGGTCTGAGAACTCAGTTGTAATTGCCTGCAAAAATGCACACACTATGTACCTGCTTTAAGAGTATCCAGACTCCCCCCTAGGCCATGTCCTTTTCTAAGATGACATTACTCTGTGCCAATGAGGATGTAGCTCAACGAGGACAAGCTAAGCTTCAAAGTATCAGGAAAGCACCAGGTACCTAACATATGTTTATGGCATTAGCAAATACATGTAGCAAATACATGTAGATGATCACTACTGAGTTCCTGTGTAAGTAAGTACATGTAAAGAGCTATATATCAATCTGAGAGAGGCAAGGAAAAAGAATGAAAATATATAAGTCAACCCCAAGAAAGATTGCAGCTGAATTACTATTTTAAGTGAAAGTGCTGATTTGCCTATCTGATAGGGAATTCTTTATGTCTATCTGAAGTCAGTTTGCATTGAAACCAGATTGCATGAATTACTGGGACACAGTGACCTGCATGTGCCAGTCCTGGGATCTTGTCTCCCAGGAGGTATTTCAGGTAAAAAGACGTAAAAGAAAAACCATAGTTCTCTAGGAGAAAAGACACAGTTGCTGCAATATAATACATATGCTGGACTCAGCTGTATCTTGAGATAGTGCATTTTCTGGGTTCTAGAAAGAATCCTGTTATGTACTGGGTCCTGGTACTGTGGCAGGAGAATACTGGGGCCTAGCCAATATGTAGTTGTAGTCTCCTTCCCCTTGTGTTTTATTTTGCCTTGATTTTTACCACTTTATTTCTCAGCTTTTCCTCACAATCTTCTCCATCCAGATGGTGTTGTATTTATGCTCCACCAAACTAGTTACACATGCCTAAGTTCTTATCAGAGAGGGTGAAATATTCTAGTACATCTTATCCAAGTCATTTATTTAATGGTCCCTTGTGAATGATTGCAGTGAAATGAAAGTGGTGGAGTGAAAATAAACATCAACTTAAGGGTGTTTTAGAAGGTTTTCAGAAATAGATCTCTGAAAAAAAGTAGTAATAATGTAAGTTTGTTTATTGAGGTTAAGGCTTAACTTTTTAAAAAGCTGGTATTGAACAATTAACTACAAATGGAAATTTCAAAGCAATGTTTTGTTATGGTTCCTATTAAAATGGACATCACACTGTACATAACCATTTCATGCATTCTTGCCTTCAGCAGTTATTTTAATAGAAAACAACGATTTAACATTGATATTTAAGACAATAAAAATATTCTGAAAAGTTTATTTATTTATATCTCTGTAAACGGTTGGACCCTATGGTATTTCCAAACTGAAAGAATTGAAAACCTCTTTCTCTAACAGGAAGTGATGTCAGTGGAAGATGAATCCACATCCTGTTACTGCCTTCTGGATCCTTTTGCCTGCCATGTGCTACTTGATAGCTTCGGAACATATGCCCTCACAGGAGAGCCAATCACAGACTGTGCTGTAAAGCAGCTCAAGGTGGCCGTGTTTGGCTGCATGTCCTGTAACTCCTTGGATTACAACCTGAGAGTTTACTGTGTGGACAACACCCCCTGTGCATTTCAGGTCAGTTTTTTTGTTATAATTGTGGTTTGGTTTGTTTGTTGTTTGTTTGTTTTGATGCCATGAAATTTTGACTATCTATATTAGTTCCTTTTCTCTTGCTGTGATAAATTATTATGACCAAGAGGAACTTATGGCTAAAAGAGGTTTATTTTGGCTTCTGGCTCCAAAGGGATAGAGTATATCATGGCAGGGACCACATGCTATAGCAGCAGAAGCAGGAAGCTGGCTGGTTATAGTTCCATCTATACCCAGGAAGCAAAGAGAGTAAATGAGAAATCAGGCAAGGCTATAAACCCTCAAAGCCTGCTCTCGGTGATACATCTGTTTTAGCAAACTCAACCTTGGTTCTATAGCCTGTCCTAACAGTGCCACCAGCTGGGGTAAAGTGCTCAAATACATGAGCCTATGGGAGACATTTCTCATTCAAACCACCACAGCTTCCTAAACACCAGTATTAGTAGAGGATTCTTCAGTGAAAACTTTGGGGGAAAAACACACACCACTTTGAACAAGAGTTATGTTACTGTATGTTCTATGTAGAGGAGACGAGGAGACAATTGACACTCAAGAAGGGAAACAGATTAAATTCATAAACACTGAAAATACTGTCTCCTAAATTGTGAAACCATCTAAAAGCACAATCATAATTCAGAAAATAAATGTAAACAAAAAATGTGGGAGAAGATTTTTTTTGAGAACACTTTGCAAACCCGTATGAAAGGATCACATCTAAGAGTGAGAGATACCTGGTCAAGAAAGGGAATGGCATAAATCACAGAACAGGGAATTATTTGGTGTGAAAAAAGCAGTGAGAAAATTGCCTGAGTCTACCGAAGGATGGAATTAGGAAACAACAATGATAAATCATACCTAACACCAGGCAGTTATATAGTATCCTGGACACATTCTAATAATGGGCTATTAGGGCAGAGGTAGTTCAATGTTCTTCTCCATTTTTGGTGCTTTTAATCATGTAATATTCATCCTAAATTAAATACTCCTGAAGAGTGTGGTTTATTAATAGCAGCAAGGATAATGCAGATGAGCCTGTGGAAGCTTTGCTCATATATAAATAGCATAGCTCTCCTGACACACCTCATTCCAGATCCCTGCTATTCCAGTCCTGGGTCATTAAGTCTATTATGCAGAACATTCAGTAACTAGGTTTTAAGACGCTGAGCTGGAAAACTCATGTTTACCAATAGAAGAGATGCAAGGACCTGAATCCTGAACATAAGCCAGGAGGTGACACCATGACATCCTGTATTTCCAAACCTTCTTCCATGCCTACCTTGTAAGGAACACAAGTCATTGTGAAGGTCATGCTTAATCTTAGCTCCCCATGTGTAATTTTGTATAGAGTTCCAGTGAAGCATTAATACTCATCCTATAATTGTTATTTTATGCTCTTCATTTACCCTCCCTCCCATCGTCAAACTAGAATTCTTTATAAGAAAAAAAATATTTAGGGTTCAAAAGCAAACAATGAATAACTAACTAGAGAAGTACATGTGGGGATTACTACACACACTAAACAGTTGTCTAAATGCTCCAAGGATTCCAACTAGATGATGTTTAGCAACTCATCTAGGTGTTGAAGATGTAGTAAAGAACTCCAGTCCCTTGTGGATAATCTTCTGATGAATTCATTCATTCATTACCATCAAAGTCAGCTCTCAACAAGCATGGATTTTCCTTGTCTCACTGCTTATGAATGCATTAGTAAGATAGTCATTTTCCTAGAGAGTTTATCCCTGGTACTTTGCAATAATCTATTTTCATTCCCTTTGATGTAACCAGATTTTTCAGCAGCTCAATTGTTTGCAGAGATATGCTTTGCAAGGGAAGTCTTAAAATCATGCTAAGACCAGCTTCTAATTTACTATCTATTCCTGCTGGCCATCTGCCCTTCTTAGTGCTAGGGAAAATTCCTTCCCTGTGGAATCCAGGTATCCTTATTGCATTATTCAGAAGTATGCCTACGTCAGTGAAACTTTAGCTTCGCTTTAGGGAAGTGTTTCTCAGTATATATACCCCTAACCTCGCTCATTAAATCTTTTATGCTAGTGGCCCCTTATTCATCAAATTATATACGATAAAGAAGGCTTTCAGGTAATATTTGGTAGCACTTGTTATTGGAAGGTGTTTGTGATAGCTGTCATGAGCAGCAAAGGCCACACATCCCTTCTGTGTTTCTGAGAGATCCTCAACCTGGAATGCATAACTTTTTTGAATTGTTTATAGAATAAAACATAACTTTAAGCATTTCTGAAAAGAGACTTCATCACTCGGAATAAAGCCATCTAGTTTGTCTTTTCTTTTCTTCCTTCCTTCTCTCTCTCCTTTACTTTCTTTTTATGTTACATAGTCATGTTCAGTAATTTCATCTTGCTACAACATAATGTGTTCAGAACTTTCCACATAGAAACTTTGGTATCACTTTAATATCTTCAATCATCTGTGTTGTATCTTTATGGTTTTATATGTGATATTCATTAGTAGTTACTAACCCATTAATACTGTTCCATTTTAAGAAAGCTTCAACAATTTACTGTTTGATCCTGTAAAATACTTCATGGCTAATATCAGCTTAAGCAGTATGAGCTAAAAAGACTGTGTACATTGTTGACTCATTTTCTGTCAGCCTCACATTATTCCCCTGACATACACAGAAAAACACTTGATTTGTACCCTGCCCAAGACTATTAATAAGCCATGAAACTAAAAATAAAACAATGACACTCTGGTTTTTGCTAATTACCAGTTCAGTTTCTAACTTTATATAGTAAAAGCTGTTAAATAAATATATAGAGTGCTATGAAATATTCAAATATTCATGTATTCATGATAATAGATGTTAACTGTTAACACTTTTATAATTTTCATTGCATATATTCATTGTACATAGAACTGTTTAACACAAGGGCATTTTAATACAAGTCTGTAGTGATATTGAGGATAACCTGAGCCTACAGATCCCCCTAATCTTCCCCATCTCATACCTCCACCTACTCCTATTAGATCCTCCCTTAGTTTATTTTCTGTAACTGTGATAAAAATACCCCCAACAAAAGCAATTTAGAATCCACAAATGAAACAGAGTACTATATTTGTCTATCTAAGGCTGATTTAATTCATTTAAAATAATCTCCAGTTGGATCTGTTTTTCTGCAGGCAATATCACTTTGTTCTCTACAACTAAAAAAAATAAGAAAGCATAAAACAAAGTCCATTCTGTATGTATATAATTTTCTTCATAGTCCCTTTATATTGAACACCTAGGTTGCTCTTATAATTCAACTATTGTAAACAGTGTTGCAAGACACTGATGTAGAAGTATCACTGGGATATGTTGACTTAGAACCCTTTGGGTAATTACCCAAAGTAGTATAGCTAGGTCATGTGATAGATCAACTGTTAGTATTTTGCGTAATCTCTATACTGATTCTGATCATGACTGGACTAGTTCCCATTCCTACCAACAGGATGTAAGATTTCTCTTTATCCACACACTTGAAGAATTTCTTGTTAATGTTCTTAATGACTATCATTCTGACTGGGTGAGATGGGACCTCAATATGCTTTTAATTTTCATTTCTAGATGGCTAGTGAGTCTGACCATGTTTCCATGTTAATTGGCTGCTTACATTTCATCTTTTAAGAGCTATTTGTTCAGTTCTTCAGCCAGTTTATTAATTGTTTTAGTTGTTTTTCACCTTGCTTGGGTTTTTCTTTTTTAGTTATTTGAATTATCTAGGTATTAATCTCCTGTCAAGCATACAACTAGTTGGCAAAGGTTTTCTCACAATCCATAGACTGTCCCTTCAACCAGTGAACATTTCCTTTCAACTGTGAAGAAGAAGGCTTTTAATTCCATGATATCTCAGTTGGCAATCGTTAACATTGCTTCCTGAGTGATTGGAGTCCTGTTCAGAAAATCTTTGCTTATACCTGTGTCTTTCCATGTTTTCTTTAATTGTCCTTGTAACAGTTTTTACATTTCAAGACTTAAAGTCTTTAATCCATTTGGAGTTGGTGTTTCATTATTTGTTTATTTAATAGAAGTGGGATATGGGGTAGGGTTAGCTTTGCCATATGTGTGCCTCAGTATTCGTGTGAACATCAAAGGACTCTTTATGGGGGTTGGTTCTCTTCTTCCACCATGTGGGTCCTGGGGATCAGACTCAGGTCATCAGGCTTGATGACAAAGGCTTTTATTCATTAAGCCAACTTGGCTGTCCTAGGGCTGATTTTTGCACAGGGTGATGGATAGGGATATGTGAATATCTGAGTTTCTCAGAAACAGTGGTTGAAAGGCTGTCTTTTCTCTGATGCATATTTTTGGCATTTTTAATAGAGTTTATGTTTATAAAAATTAGTTTAGAATTTTTCATGGAACATTTAGGCAGATAGTGCCCATCTTATAATTTGTTTCAACTATCACTATAATGAAATGTTTATCATAGTTAGGACACGTTTGTGACAACTGTTGTATTTATTGCATCTCAAAGAAATGATAACAAATATGCGCTCAGCTAGAGCTTGGCTCTTCACCAAGAAGGAAGGCTGCTGCAAGGACATGGTTACGTCTTTTTTCTCATTCATATCTCACTGGGAAGTTCCATCCCATAAAACACTTAGATGCTAGAAGACTTTGCAAAAGAATGAGCTCCCAGACCACATCTACTTGTCTGTTAACACTTGATTATGGCCAAGCAATACAGCGATTGCCATCAAAGAGTATTCCATTTGAAGAAGTTGAGTAAACAGACAACCCATCCACCTTCCTTCATTCTGATTGCAGGGCTTCCCTGTTTCACTCTAGTTTTTCTGGGCTACACTGGGTGGAAACAGAAATGTCTTCAAATGACACAAACAAAACAGCCATCTCTTTGGCTAAGATATGTTTTAATGTAAGCTTAGATATTTTAAGATCTGTTCTGATAAAGACATCTACCACTTACTTCATAAAAAATTAGACCAACTCAGGAGTGCTGCTA